AAGGGGGGGGGGGTTTCAGACTTTTAAGCTGTTCAAAACCAAACCAAAGTGAGTGTTGCAACCTCCGCTATGTCACAGCCCGTCCTGGGATGAGCAAGAGCGGAGAGAAGCCTCCTGCTCCCCGCAGCTGGAACGTGTCTGATGTTGAGCATGGAATTTCAGGGAGGGTTCAGACTCATCGGGGAAGGAATGGCAAACGATCGAGGGTCTAAAATCATGACGCAGAACGGGGAGGTAGAAAGATGGGGGTCTACAGAAGAGCATAAACTGCTGACTTTGCTTATTGTGGGTAAGAGGAACGGTAACGGATTTGGATCCTAAAAATAAGAAAGACCCCATGGGCAGCGTGGGTGCCAAGGGCGGTGGTGGAGTCTCCATCAGAGCCTGGAGCAGCCAAGTTCAGGGTGGTTTAGGCACCAGGGACTTGCTTGGAAGCAGCGGGAGGTAACAGGTAATCTCAGAGATCCCCCGGTATCTCAAAACATCCTGGTTTTGCCACAAACTGTTTCATCTGAACACCCAGCGTAGCCAAGTTCAAGTTCTCGCCGCAGACCCAAACACCTACTTCCTCCCTTTGACTTTCAAGTTTTGCTTAAAGAGGTTTTGTTGGTGGTGGTTTGAAACAAACAGCCAAGGGTATGAGACCGGCAAGAGCCGACCCAGCTCTTCGGCGGAGCGAGTGGATGTTAAACCCACAGCCCTTTCCCAACGCTGCCCTTCGTTTCGTCTCCACGTCCCACCTGCGAGCAGCTCCAGGAAGGGAAACTTTCCCCCACGAGGACAGAGATGCTCAGGTCTTGCGGTGATTTAATTCCAAGCCCAAGAATGGAGAAACACCACCATGGCTCATCGCATCCAGCACCCGGAGTCAAATCCTCCGCCCTTATTTCCCCCTGCAGCCTCGTTAGAAACCACGAGCCGCAGCCGGCACGGAAAACGCTCCCCAAAAAGGGGATTTCTCCCAGCCTGCCCCCACGACGGAGGGTTTCGGTTAAGGGCCTACTGATATTCTTGGCTCTTAACAGCTTGAGAGGCATCTTGCAACACCAGCCGAGACCTTCTGGCAGTTCACGCGCCTGGAAGCGGAGAGGAAGGAAGCAGGAAGCGGTTTGCCTGAGAGCTGCCTGCAGATGCTGAGCTGTGACATCGTCCCGGGGCGCGAGCGGCACCGCTGCTCCCACGGCACGGGGCTGCCGCTACCGTGACACGGAGCCACCGAGCGGGTGGTCCTGGTACGGTGCCACCGCTGTTTTCACGAGATCCTCCTGCCGTTATCGGTTGCTTAACGCCCTTTAGCTCATTAACGTTGATTAAAACCCTCGTATAAATTCCGGAATTAGCATCAAACACTCGCAGAGGACATGAACGCTAAGCAGGTGCCCTTAAGGCAGCTCCTGCTCCAAGCGGGGAGCAGCGGTCAGGCTTTTAGCCACAAAAATCCCATGCAAGAAGCGGGCAGCTCGCTCAAGCTCTCATTTGAAGAGACACGGGGACAAGTAGGCTTAAAAAAAAAAACCCAAACCCAGCTAAAAAAACCCCAAAACCCGGCTATAGATTCGGCATCTCCCCCCATCTCCAAACCCTGTTTGCCCAGCTGCTTCCCCGCAGCCATACCCGGAGCAAGAGTTAAATAAATATTGCAATGCCAAACGGGCGCCGCTTCGTTCTTAAATGGGTTGCGACAGATACTTGTGGCGGTGAAGCCCCAGCACCCCAAAAAGCGTCGTTTCAGGCTGGAAGCAAACCAAGGAGGGGGTTTAGACTGACAGGGAGTCGACCTTGCGAGCTCGGGAGCGTAACTAAGAGACTTCAGGCTTGGATTTAAATACAAAAGCCGTCCACCGATAGCTATCTCCACGTGATCCGCCAGGCACGCTTTGGTTACACAACAGGTTGCTGGGCCAGGGATTTTTAAACTGTTCAAATTTACCCGTTTTTCTCGGCGTTGTCCCCCAAAGACACGACTCGTAAGGAAATACAGAGGAGGCAAGTTTAAATCCACCAGCGTGGTGGCTTAAGGGGGTGTTTGGGCTCCTGCTCTTGTGCAGGTGACGTTCACCCTCTGCTCGTCCTACCTGTCCATCCTCAACCTTATCCAGGTTTAAATATAACGCTGAAGCAGACCAGAATTAAGCTCTAATTCAACTATTTTTACCTAGAAGGACAATTCCCAACCCAATTTCTCCCACCAGCCCTTCACAGAATCCCAGCCTGGCCGGGGTTGGAAGGGCCCTTGGAGCTCACCCAGTGCCACCCCCCCACCCAAGCAGGGTCACCCAGAGCAGGGGGCACAGGACAGCGTCCAGGCGGGGGGTGAAGATCTCCAGAGAAGGAGACTCCACAGCCCCCCTGGGCAGCCTGGGCCAGGGCTCGGGCACCCTCCCAGGCAAGAAGTTCTTCCTCCCGTTCACCTGGAACCTCTTCTGCTTCAGGCTGTGCCCATGGCCCCTTGGCCTGGCGCTGGGCACCACTGGGAAGAGTCTGGCTGCGTCCCCGTGCCCCCCACCCTTGAGAGAGTTGTAGGTGGTGATGAGATCCCCTCTCAGCCTGCTCTTCT